ATATTATGATTTCTATTAATCCAGGTCTGGTAGAACCAGTAACCTTAGGGCTATATATTATGATTTCTATTAATCCAGGTCTGGTAGAACCAGTAACCTTAGGGCTATATATTATGATTTCTATTAATCCAGGTGTGATAGAACCAGTAACCTTAGGGCTATATATTATGATTTCTTTTAATCCAGGTCTGGTAGAACCAGTAAACTTAGGGCTAAATATTATGATTTCTATTAATCCAGGTCTGGTAGAACCAGTAAACTTAGGGCTATATATTATGATTTCTATTAATCCAGGTCTGGTAGAACCAGTAACCTTAGGGCTATATATTATGATTTCTATTAATCCAGGTCTGGTAGAACCAGTAACCTTAGGGCTATATATTATGATTTCTATTAATCCAGGTGTGGTAGAACCAGTAACCTTGGGTCTATATATTATGATTTCTATTAATCCAGGTCTGGCAGAACCAGTAAACTTAGGGGATACCAAACTAGAGGGATGGTCCATTTATCCTCTGGAGTTCAAGAAAAAATTTTTGAGAAAGTAGGTTACAGTTTTTAATATGCCCAATTGTCATTTCCTCGGATCTATAACTTTATTGTCAGGGTGCTAGCTAATAATATTAATCTTAGTACACTGTAACAGAATGCTAATGTGGCCATTCAGTGAAAATATTTGATATATTTTTCAGTATTGTATCTTCCCCCAAATGGACAAAATTTGACAGGGAATTCCAGGGACCGGCAATATTCAGGGGTACTTTCTTTATCCATGAAGAATCAGCCAGAGACACATACATAAATATGGTGGTCAGTAAACTATTTATATTGTTAATATTTACAGCAACAACAAATAGTATTGCTACAGATTCTGATGATATTCTTCCTTCTAGCAGTTGGTTAGAATAATTATGATACTTTGCTAAAATTATATGTACCTTGTTGTATTCATTTCTAAGATTTACTCATACAATACATGAAATACACACTGTTCCTCATTCCCTCATTTATTAAAAAATTGAAATGGTCAGATATTCATGTTCTTTCTTCCTCTCAACTTGTGAGATCATTAAAGCTTTGTTCATGTTGTCAGGGTTGGAAGAAAGGTGTGGTATTTGTGAATGGGTTTAACCTGGGCAGGTATTGGGAGAAAGGGCCCCAGGGGACCCTCTACCTGCCTGGACCACTGCTCAAGAAGGGAGACAATGAGGTAGGTTTAGATAGGAAACAAATATACACTCCAAAAGGATGTGAAATTAAAAGGAATTAATATTTTTGACAGTCAATTAAGGCATTTAACTTCTTGTCAATCAGTTTTTTTAGCTATTTTTGTAGCAGTCTTTAAGTTTTTAGAAGTGGGGTGACAAACTTAAACGGCCATATTGCACCCTCCATATGAATTTAAATATTTTATTTTTAAAAAAGAAGACAGAACACTGCACACTGACGTGAAATTGAAGAAAAATGAATCAGATGTAACATTTGATGTATATGTTTTAAAAACTAACTTTTTTCTTTGCATACTTGTAGATTTTGGTCTTTGAGCTCCATAAACCAAACAGTGTTGTCATCTTGGACAATCATCCAGTGCTTGGGTCTTAGAAAATTGATGCTAGCAGGATATTACGACAGCTGATAAACACAACACACTGCCAGTAGAACAGAGATTCCCTTTATTATAGCATTTAGTTCAACACGGTTGAAAGCTTTCAGGAATATCCCTGATTTCAGAATTTTCAGTCTTCATTTTGATCATATATGTGTGCATGAATTGACAGGAGTCTCTTAGGCTAGTTTGCTGTCAAAAATTTCATGTTTTTTAAAATACAATGGAATCATATAGTTGTAAGTTGAAAATGTCATTTTATTGACATTTGTACTCTGATTAATACATAAAGTATGAAATTAAAATACACACAGTTAAATATAATTCTGTGATTGATAATCATGCATGGTAAAGCATTTACTAGTTTAAGATATTATTTAAGTTTAAGCAAAGATGGATTTATATTTATTATAATGGTCTAAGTGTGATGAGAAATTGCAAGCTACATTTTCAGGATTTTTACTTTTCACAACTTTCACCCATGGTTCAAAGAAAAGCATTTGTTTACCAATTAAGGGAAATGAAATGAGCTGCTAGTTGTTATTAACCTTGACACTGTGATGCTAATTCATTTGGGTTAAAGTATTTATTAAAGGACAGATATGAAGGACTTTCGACTACAGTATGAAAAATCGTACCCTGGAATTTGCTACTCTATATCCTACAATGTATTGTGATTTTGTGCAATAGACAATAATTTGGACGCTTGGCATGTCTTGTTGATATCTGAGTGTGTGCGTGTGTGCGTGTGTACACACTCCGTACGTAGAAGTTTATGCTTGAAAATGAACTTTTCTGAGAAGGCAATGAAATTCCACTGATGGGAATTTCCTGACTTTTGTCAGATCTCCATTTCAGGGTCATTTGGGTCAAAGTGAATCCTGGACCCTGGACCCCAGGCCAATTTTCCTACTTTTTCTGCGAGGACTGGTCTCTTCCCTGAGATAAATAGTGGATGGAAAATTTTATGATTCTTTTATGTTTTACTGCATTGAACCTCATAGTTAATGTAATGCTTTTATTCTTCAGGTGTTCAGGAACAAATTAAAAGACCAGTGTTTTGTTTTTCTTTTCATTACTTGATACACATGCAGGTTTGGTAATTATGTAAAAATTCAAATGGAATTTTATGGTATAATAATTGTTACTGGTTGTTAATTATTGGTTAATGTTATATAGTTGGATCATGTTGTGGTCATTTAAGACATCTGTTGATTGGGTTTTATATATCTGTACATTAATGGTTCATGTTTTTGGATATACAAATCAATATGAATATTGGTGGATTAACTATGCATTCTGCAATGTACTTTTTACACTTTTATCTTCATTGCCTAAAGAATTATGAATAAAATGTGCATTTATTCATTTGACAATTTTAATAATGTCTTTGTGTACTTCAAATGTAACAAGATAAAACCTTCATTAAAAGAACCATGCTCATTCGAAAGATTTTAAGTTAAATGAAAAAAGTAAACTGTGATGTCATGAAATTTGGCCTTAAATCTATTTTTGAAAAGTTATAACCCATTCCTATGCAGACATTTGATGGGTACATACTCTGTCTTAAAGCAAGCACTGACCTGCTCATTGTGTATCTTTAACTGTCTTTAACAAACCAATGCATGATATTTGAAAAATTAAAAATGCAGACATATATTTTATTTTATTAAAGTTTCATTTCCCATTTTACAACATGTGAAGTATGGCATTGACTGTATTTTCTATAAGGGTATAAGAGATAAAGTGAAGTTTTACACTAAAGATCCAGGTTTGGTTACCATTGACCCCAGCTATAGCCCCCCTCCCCCCCCCCTCCAAAAAAAATAATAAATAAATAAATTCCTCTCCAACAAGAAGAAAGAAAACAATGTATTCAATATGTATTAAGTATTAAATATACGGATGACAATGACCCGCCTTCTACCAGATTTATAAAGCAATGCTAGAATCTGATGTTACTGGCTAGTTTGCCTATCGCTGGCCTGAAATGGCACTTCTGACTCGTGAGACGCCTAGCGGCCTCTTGGAGTATGACTTCAACTTGGATTTGGCACTATACAACACATTTGTGGCTGCATGCCTTAGGATGGCTGAAACAAACAATTTACGATTTATGCGGGACAACTTTGAAAAGGAGCGATATAGTAATGATAATAACGCTACTTTGTCTTCGGAGGAACAGGTAATCTAAACCATTGAAAATAGACTCTTTATTTGTGTAGTGCGTAGTAACTTGAAACTGCTTATTATAAAACTACTAGAAAAATCTATACTATCATTATAAAAACTACTACAGTAGTCTTTATACTAATTAGGCTACAAATAAAGCATTTGCACACACACAAGCACACATACAAGCACACACACGCACACACGCACACACCATCCATTTAACATTTTTCCCAAAGTTAAGCTTTACTTACAATACATGTAATAATCAGCCCAAATGGGCATTTTTGGATGAAGACTTTTTCGCTTCAAAATGTCACTGTAAGAAATCCATTATCATTAACTGGATCTTCAGCATTATACCTTTAATTTCTTCCAGTGCCAAGTAGAAGAAGATGTTGCTAAATGCTTTAAGAGGTTTAAAAACATTGCTGAATCATATCCAGAGTAAGGTTTTAACATGTCTATCATAAAAATATTTGTTCTTTCTTCCTAAATGATCTACATGAATAACACTAGACTCAGGCCTGTAGCCAGCAATTACAAAAGGGGGGTTCTTTTTCTGAAAAAGTGGACCTTTTCCCATAAAAACCTCCTCATGTACCTAGATCAAATTTTACCCAGAGTGGACCTTTCCCAGCAAAAGGGGCGGTTCTTTCGAACCACCGAACCCCCCCTGGCTACAGGCCTGTTAGTGAAACTGTCAACTTTGTACAGTCATGAATGTATCAATTGAATCTTCATATAATGATTTTGTCATAAATAGTTCTGTTAGCTTTTTCAAAAAAAGTGAAAATAGCATAAGTAACAAAAATGTCTGACATACATTAGAATTAATATTTATTACAAAATGAGATAAGTAGCAAGGTTTGTTTGAAAAAAAAAAAGGTTGAGAGGAAATGAAAAAACACAATAAAATAACCATATGAATGCATTTTATTGTTTTTTTCTTTTCAGGCAGCCAGTCTTACAAAAAGACATGCATGTCAAATTTTTAATGAAAGGCTTAGAAAGTTTATCAGAATCATATGAAGTAAGCATCTATTTTTCTTTAATTAATATTACTTTTAGGGTAATATTTATTTCTGTACAGTACAATATACAAAGTTTTTTTAAAATATTGTATACTTTCAGCTAGATATTGACGTCAGTCTATGTTGATATGGACCTTAATATAGTTAAATGGTATTTTGCAAGGAATAATTTTAATATGTTTTATTTTGGTATCTATGAAAGATAACAGCCAACACACATCCTTTCATTTTTGACACAGATTAAATCAGAAATAAATATGAGGATATCAAAAGTAGGCAGCCTCAATATATAACATCATCCATCTCTTTCTTCCCTTTTAGTCAAGGTCAGAGCCTGTATCTGCATTTTTAAAAAGAAATTTGTTGTGGCAAAGCTGTGTAAAGTTGCAGTAATCAAGTTTTTATTTTTATTTATTTATTTTCTTTTTTTTGTCAGTGTTTAGACGCAAGTCGTCCTTGGCTCTGTTACTGGATACTTCACAGCTTGGACCTACTGGGTGTAGTTATATCAGATGATAAAGCTTTAAAGTAAGTTACTGGATACTTCACAGCTTAGACCTACTGGGTGTAGTTATATCTGATGATAAAGCTTTAAAGTAAGTTACTGGATACTTCACAGCTTAGACCTACTGGGTGTAGTTATATCTGATGATAAAGCTTTAAAGTAAGTTACTGGATACTTCACAGCTTAGACCTACTGGGTGTAGTTATATCTGATGATAAAGCTTTAAAGTAAGTTACTGGATACTTCACAGCTTAGACCTACTGGGTGTAGTTATATCTGATGATAAAGCTTTAAAGTAAGTTACTGGATACTTCACAGCTTAGACCTACTGGGTGTAGTTATATCTGATGATAAAGCTTTAAAGTAAGTTACTGGATACTTCACAGCTTAGACCTACTGGGTGTAGTTATATCTGATGATAAAGCTTTAAAGTAAGTGATTTCATAAAGTAACTGTATTTGATGTTTAATGGGGTAATGTCAAATATGTAGATTTTTTTTGACTAGATAGATAAATTTTTCTTTTCACAACTATTGACAAATTTTTTTGCAAAAATCAATGATATTAATTATAGAAATATTTTTCTCATTTCAGGATTGCTAATTTTTTAGGGAAATGTCAAAGTCCTACTGGTGGATTTGGAGGTAACGGCAGTAATTATTGTCACCTTGAATCAGAACGCATTCAACTAACATAACAAAACAAAATTTTGGTCCTCGTGCAGAAATGAATCATTAAAGCTTAATGTTGACAAATTGAATTTTCTTGATTTATGTTAAGGAAATGATACCTGAAAGTTATTTGAATTTCCGGAAAGATGAATTTAGGCCTAATAAGAATGGATTTATTAAGTGATTAAAATGATTAAACTTGGTAATATAATAATAATAATAATAATAATATGGCTTAAAAAGGTAGGTTTTAATATATAATATTATTATTATTCCTATTTTTAGGGGGACCCCTGCAGGAACCTCACCTGGCCCCCACATATGCAGCAGTCAATGCATTGTCAATACTAGGCAAATACACTGAGGAGGCATATGATGTTATTGCCAGGTAGTGGGGAGTGATAGCTCATCAATTATGTTAGAAGATTATTTGGTGCTATTTCAAACTTTTTGTAGCATGACAGTCCTGACAAAATATATTAATATGTTTCTGTATTGAGAATGAATACATTGTCAGTATTAAGATATTATTTTAAATTTTCTGTTTTACATTTATAGGGAAAAATTACAACAATATCTCAAAAGAATGCACACACCAGATGGTGGCTTCAAGATGCACTTGGGCGGTGAAGTTGATATAAGGTAATGTCATATACCCTCCCTTTAATATAAGAGGTTAGTTACACTGGCACAAATACAACACTCATTATCTATCATTGGAAATATTGATCCTTAGTTTTCATGTCTGTTCTTGAAACTTTTGTTCTGTTTTTGATGTTTTCTAATTCTACCAGTAGTAAAGTCCAGTAGTGTTCAAAAGGTGAAGATGCTTATTTTTTGTGCTGAGTTGTATATGATTTGCAATTTTATGCGTGATCTTGAATGTTAAAATGTTTTTGTTGTTAATTAAATTCAAAAGTTTTTTATATGATGATCAATTTTTCACCATACAATTGATATCAGTAGCACTTAGTTTATTTTTCTACAAAATCCTTCTGTTATGCCCTGAATATTGTCAAATTGTAGACTGTATTTCTAGGGGTGCTTACTGTGCTGCCAGTGCTGCTAGACTGACCAATGTCATGACAGAGAGCATGTTTGATAAAACTCCTGAATGGATAGTAAGGTAAGCAGTTGCCTTCTCCCCAAATAATCTGTACTATCTTAATTCAGCTGGTACTCCATAATGGTTTGTTCAAATGTATATTACAGAAAATATGTTATTTTAATATTTTAGCACCATATAAAAATTAAGTTGTTTTCTTTTTATATTAATGTGATTATACAATCTTTGTAATGATACTGCATTGACAGTGTGTGTTGTAAGAGGACTGACCTAAATACATTTACTTCTTTCGTGGAAGTAAAGTAAACTGAGGATCATATTCATGAAACAAATCAGATGTTCACTTTCTGGTGATATTTCTTTCACTGTGTTCAGCTGTCAGACCTATGAGGGAGGATTTGGAGGTTGTCCTGGTATGGAAGCACATGGAGGGTATTCATTCTGTGGACTGGGAGCTTTGATTTTACTTGGCCATGAAAAGCTGTGTGACATCAAGTCTTTGTTGGTATGTATTTAGTTCTGACACTGTTGAATCCACTCTTTGTTGGTATGTATTTTGTTCTGACACTTTTGAATCCACTCTTTGTTGGTATGTATTTGATTCTGACACTTTTGAATCCACTCTTTGTTGGTGTGTATTTTGTTCTGACACTTTTGAATCCACTCTTTGTTGGTATGTATTTTGTTCTGACACTTTTGAATCCACTCTTTGTTGGTATGTATTTGATTCTGAAACTGTTGAATCCACTCAGATAGAATGAGTTGTAAAGTTATTGTTTAAAAGAGGAGATTGTGTATAGCATTTTTGAAGGATATCTTTAAAACATTAAAACAAGATGCATTAAAACTGAACAAGTTATGATAATTTACAGAGATAAAAAGTATTTGGCTATTACTCCTAAGACTTTAAACCTGGACAATACCACAATTTAAGAGGAGTGGAAATAATTTTAATTATTAAATGTTTGTAGCTTAGTTTGAAGCTTTGATGAAGTAGTTGTTAGGCGTTGATTAATTCTGTTTAAACTGTTGACTAAATTAATCCTGCATCTCAGTGGATTTCCTGAACATGTAATAAATTTTATTGTAGGGTCATTTACACAGCAGTGGAATTTAATGCTCAGTAAATTAATTATAACCAGCGTTATTTCCAAACTTTCAGAGGTGGACTGTAAACAGACAGATGGGGTTTGAAGGCGGCTTCCAGGGACGCACAAATAAACTAGTTGATGGTTGTTACTCCTTCTGGCAGGGTGGAGCATTTCCTTTGATCCATATGGTGCTTTCCATGGACAGTATGTATTTTATATGTACTTCTGGCAGGGTGGAGCGTTCCCTCTGATCCATATGGTGCTTTCCATGAAAAGTATGTATTTTATATGTACTTCTGGCAGGGTGGAGTGTTTCCTCTGATCCATATGGTGCTTTCCATGGACAGTATGTATTTTATATGTACTTCTGGCAGGGTGGAGCGTTCCCTCTGATCCATATGGTGCTTTCCATGAAAAGTATGTATTTTATATGTACTTCTGGCAGGGTGGAGTGTTTCCTCTGATCCATATGGTGCTTTCCATGGACAGTATGTATTTTATATGTACTTCTGGCAGGGTGGAGCGTTCCCTCTGATCCATATGGTGCTTTCCATGAAAAGTATGTATTTTATATGTACTTCTGGCAGGGTGGAGTGTTTCCTCTGATCCATATGGTGCTTTCCATGGACAGTATGTATTTTATATGTACTTCTGGCAGGGTGGAGCGTTCCCTCTGATCCATATGGTGCTTTCCATGAAAAGTATGTATTTTATATGTACTTCTGGCAGGGTGGAGTGTTTCCTCTGATCCATATGGTGCTTTCCATGGACAGTATGTATTTTATATGTACTTCTGGCAGGGTGGAGCGTTCCCTCTGATCCATATGGTGCTTTCCATGAAAAGTATGTATTTTATATGTACTTCTGGCAGGGTGGAGTGTTTCCTCTGATCCATATGGTGCTTTCCATGGACAGTATGTATTTTATATGTACTTCTGGCAGGGTGGAGCGTTCCCTCTGATCCATATGGTGCTTTCCATGGACAGTATGTATTTTATATGTACTGGAATATTGTTGGGGCAAGACAATTAGACATGTTATTAAATGAAAACAAATATCTCACTGTATTTCCTTGTGGTGTATGTTTATCAGGGTTGTTGTAAAATTAAGTATAACTGATATGTAGGCCCTCCTACTGACCTTGTTTTTTCTTTTCTTTTATTTATTCAAATCTTAGAACCAATACTTATGATTTAGTTCAGTGACTTAGTTCAGATTTGGTTGTATTTTAGGGGATGTATCACTTAGTGCAGAGAAGTGGCTATTTCAGCAAGGTGGGTTATTTTCTACACATTAAGTAACACTTACAACCACTTGTTGATGCACACCTGTATCATAAGTGTACTTGAAAGTTTTTTGTAAACAAAAATACTTTCAGCATCATTAATATATAACAAATTGCTTTGATTCAACAGATGATAATACTTTAAAAAGTGACATTAATGTGTAAAAAGTTAAATAAGAGACCTTTAACTCATATTTATGCCAATCAATCAGTGTATATTTCATATTGACAGAGGCACTCCAAGAATATGTGTTAACATGCTGCCAGCACCCAGCTGGAGGACTTCTAGACAAACCTGGAAAGTGAGTAGAGATGGACAATGTGGCCATTCAGAATAGTTGATCTCAGTACTAATTGACATTCAGAATAGATGATCTGAGTACTAATTGACATTCAGAATAGTTGATCTCAGTACTAATTGACATTCAGAATAGATGATCTCAGTACTAATTGATCTGCCGACTGAATAAAGCCAACCCCACTTTAAAAGGGATGTCTCTAATTCCATGATGGTGTCCCTGCCTCCACACGCACCATTGCTGCAGGGGCCTATCAGTCAAACATCGGAGCTGAGATTTAATCCATTTAATGGCGCATGTGGAGGTGGGGAGACCATTGCTTTTGAAGTGTGGTCAGCTAAATTTAGTTGGTGAATCAGTTATTACTTGGATCATCTAACCTAAATGGCCCCAATGTTGTTATACAGCAGAATTTGTACTTCCTATGTAGACTGAAGCAGGGCAACCTTTGTTAAGTGTCTGTTCAGGTTTTTTAATTGAACACTTTTCTAGCAGTGAAGATGGTTACAGCAAGTTAAAGCCAACGATTGACTTTCTTGTTTGTTTCCAGACCAAGAGATTATTACCATTCCTGTTACTGCCTCAGTGGGCTCTCAGTGGCGCAGCACTTCGCAGCAGGCCCCATAGGGCACAGTGTCGTCGTAGGGAATCAAACCAATAATGAATTGGTAAGTTTTACAATTAATTCCTGCATTGAAACATCCATCCCAACATTTATCCATAAATTCATTTTATTATATTATAGTACTTTGAATTCAGAAATGTTTATTTAATTTAATTTGCAAGTTGGTAAGTTCTACAATTAAGTGTTTTAAACATTAATGGATTTGAATATTTTTTCATAATTCCATTTTAATGTAATGGTACAATGTTATTTTATGTATTTTATCTCAACATGGAGTTAGTACATTTTGTTTTAAGATGTACTGTAGTTTCTGTAATTTGCTCTTCTGAGCCAACCAAGATTCCAGCTTTATTTATTTTATATCACCTTTTCTTCAGAAACCAGTGCATCCAGTTTTTAATATAAGCACAGAGGCTGCAGTGAAGGCAACTCAGCATTTCAACAAACTTCCTGTTCCCAACACAGACAGTGTGTGACTCTAAAGTAATTAACCTTTACCTAAACATTTGGCTCAAAGAGTGTATGTTCTGATTCAGGCAGTAGTGTTATAGTACAGAAGAGAAAAGATAATTCAATACTGGATTTACGATGGAATGCAGCAATGGACGAGACACAGGACAGGTCAGCAAGGCCAGTGTTATGGGTTAATCTTTTTCTTGGAAGATTTGTATCTTGTACCAGAAATAAAAGTGATGTATATCAAGTATATCACCTGCAACATGGTTTAAAGCCAGAGACATCTTGTTTTACTTTGATTTTACTGACCTTACTGAACTTCCTTATTTTTTGTTGTTGGGATTTTAATAATTCCCATAGAGTATGTTTTGAATGGGTTTGGCAGAGAAAACAAAGATGTAAAGATCCTCACTGAAATTGACCTGATATGATTGAACCTGACATTTTAACAAAATGGAATTGTTCCATTATGGTTGTTCTTTATCGATTGTACAGTGCTTTTAAAAAACAACTTGATTCAACAACATCTGCATGGTAAGAGGCCGCATGTTGAGACCACTGTTCTCTGTCAATAAAGTAACAGGCAGAACAAAACTTCTGTCAGGAAAAAAGGAAGGATAGCGTTATCCTATATATCCAGATTCCAACTAGTTGGAAAAGAGCTTGTTGTTAGTGAAAAACGAAATGATGTATCTGAATGTTTGAAGTGCAATTTTGGTCTTTTAAAAAGATACCTCATGATGTTACATTTAGCAGTGAAATGTATTTTATTGTTTCAGTAAGAGTTCAGTAAAGTATGGTATTCTGAGGTCTTTTTGTGTTTACATTTTTCAAAATGGTGTTTTATTTCTATGTGTATAATACCCAAAGGTCATGGGAGAGTATCAATAATTTGAAGTCTGCCAGTGTGATGAACATCATAAATATTGAACTAGGCCTAGTGAGTGTCCAGCTGTTACTTTACTGCAGATCTAATCTGTATCTGGTGTGCCATTGTCTTGTAGCATGCTACTTATGTTTTAAGTGATGTTCAGTTATAGCTTTAAGCTCCCTTGTGTAAGTAGATCAGTGACATAGATATTGGAAATGATACTAAGGGTTTGGCTTGGAATATCATGGCAGAAATGTTGTCTAACCTTCCAAGTCTGGTCAAATAAAATCTAAATACCATTCGGATTTGTTTATGACATTTTGATTATCTGTCCTAAAAAGGGTCATGATTAAAGTTATTTAAAGTCCAGAGCCCTTTGAGTCCAGTGAGTTCTGTTGGTTTCATGATTTTCCCCAGTACACTTTTAATTCTGAAATGCTCTTATCATGTAAGACTAAGAGAAACATTAGATTTTCTTTCACCAAGAAATTTTAATCAAGTCATCACTTTCCTTTCATAACATTGGTTTTGTAGTACTTAGGAATGCACCCAATATTCACTGAAATGCTCATTATGTGGGCTTTACAAAGGGGGCGATTTCGACTTCTTTATAGTAAACAAACAAGTATCCTGTTGGATGGACAGAGTTTCCAGTTGTCATCAATTTTGTGGCAGGACCCTTAGAGGTGACCAACAATATCCAGCAGGTGACTCATCTGTAATGCTGGCAGTGACATCTACTGGATCCTGCTGTCACGACAGGTCCATGCGTGACCATTATTTTTAGGGCAGAGTACACCTTGTGTACAACTGACTGTATTCATTAACATCTTTTGAAACATAAATACAAAGCAAATAATAGAAACAAAATGCTTGTTCATTATATCAGAAGATTGACCAAAAAGAACAAACAGTTTAAGACTACTTTATTCATTATCATGATACAAACATAGTGTAAAAAACTCAGGTCTTGGCTATAACCACAACTCAAAATAACTTTTGTCCAGATTTTATTGAAAAATTATTTGAACACATTCATGAGTTTGACTTATCCATTACTCTTCTGCTTAAGTACATATGCTAAAATCAAGACTGGATGTTAAGAGGGAAAAAGAAAGTGGATTCTTGTGTGAGTGATGGCACTGGTTATAATGTGCAAAAGTTATTTAGAATTTCGTCATTTAAAACACCACAAAGTATATTTTGTTAGAAAGAGTACACAAAATGTTACGAGGTCATTGTACAGGTGGTGAAACACTGGTTTTTTAATTTTTCGTCCCTGTGTTCAACTTGCACAAATAACCAGACTTGTAATTTTGAACAAACAAGTTTAAAGGATGCCCCAGCCACAGCATAATACTAACTGACATATTACTCAGTCACCAGAAAACTCCTTTACCAGCAGTTACACATATTATCTTTGTGCTGAAACATTTCCCACCTGAGAATAAACCCCTTTATATTTTCTTAATTCTATGCAGCAATATCAGAATAGAACTCTGTTTATGATCTTAACTTCCTCATTTTTCCAGACAAGAATTTATACAATTTCAGCACATTGCCAAGTCAAAAAGCCTTTGAAAAACATTTAATCATGCTATTTCAAAAATCTGGACTGCATTCATAGTTAATACATTCAATGCATTTATTGAATGCAGTGTTTCTTTGGGCTCTGAAGTCAATAAAATACATTAGTGTACCAATATTGCTCACCCCTCTTTGTCAGTTTCCCCAAGTTAACCTTAGGGGTACACTGTAACACTGTCTGAGAACATACACTCATTAAAACCAAAGTACCAGTTACAATGCTATAATTTTCACACCAAAATATTCAAAATGCTTGGCCTTAGTTTCAATCTTGCTCATTTACTGATTTTAAGAAAATTTTGCCATAAATGAATAAATGACTATTCTTAACAGTTCTGTTACGGCCAAAAAGTTACGAAATTTTCATAGCAAATTTGATCTGGCTTCTATGTAATAACTCTTCTAATGGTAGATGATACCAAAACTCCAAATACATTTGATTTACAAAGAAAAAGGTCAATACAGTAACAATGGATTTTAGATTTTACTAAAAACTAAATGGCACAAAAATTAGGACACCTTCTACTACTTTTTTTCACAACATTATAACTATATCATATGTAAGATGGTTTTAACAGCTTCCTGGACACACCAATCAAAAAAATTACCAATATTGAGTAAAAATAAGTTGAAATCTTTGCTATGTTGAAGTTTTCAATTTTTTCCTCTTCCCTGGTCCCAGATCTGATTCAGAACTTTCTGAACCAGACCCACGTCTTTCGTTTGAATTAAGAACAGTTTCTGACTCTAATCCTGAAGAGGACTGACTGGCAAAAGTCCCTGTTGTCTTTGCTTTTTCTAGGGCTCGCACTGAAAACACAAATTCCCTCTATTAATTGATACATTATTCAAGTAATCATTTTATGTTTATATATGAAATCCCCCCTGGGCAGCAAAAATCAAACAAGGATTAGAAGTTTATCTGATACATTGGAGTCCCTTATAATAAAGCAAGCTACAGTGATAAGTATTACCTTGTTGATCCAAAACAGAATTTTGTCTTTTCAGATCTTCTAAATCTTGATGATGTGTATTATTTTTTCTTCGCATGAACTGGATATATTCAGAAGCTTTCTTCAGAATCTGTGATCTTGCTACCTGCAAAATAATTCTGGCAATGATCAGTATAAGGTTTTAGCCATACAATATGCATGTTCTCAATTTCTAACTCTTCATAATGTTATTAATACATAATACAATGCTCTATTAACACTGGAAATAAATTACCTTCTCTCCTTGAAGTGATGGTATAGAATCTCGTAAACTGTGAAAACTTTCTTTTATATGATCTCTCCTTTTCCTTTCCAAAGCATTGTGGTGGGCACGCTTTTCAGCCTGGAAAAAAATTGGCATAAGTGCCAGTAATTTGTCTTTTACTTGTACAAAATCAATGGTATACCTTAATAAATCAGGACTTCTTAGGATCACCACCAATTTCTTTTTCTTTTTTTTTCTGATTTAAAAATGAAAACCAAGCAACAGATCCTACTTCAACAGAAGACAAAAATCCCCCACATGTTAATGTTTACGTCACGTGACATGTTCTGACACTGTCCACATATTGTCCTTGTATCTCATTTCTACTCTCTCATAATTGGCCCCAGAATTTAATTCTTGGTCACAATCACGTAAGTTATTGACATCTGTCTTACCTGGCTCATAAACTGTGTAACATTTGACTGATTTCCGTCCAAGCCCATTTCGTCCTCCTCTTCCTGAAACGAAAACACGCCCAGAAGTTCACAATATTTACCATTATTCTTGTAACTTGAGTCAGTTCTGTTTATTTGTCATATGCTAAAACATACTCACATCACTTTCGATGTCGATATCCCTTTCATCGTCACTCATCTTTGGGTAAAAACTCTGAACCAAAGCAACAGATATTCTATATTGTGGCTGTCAAACAGTCGGAAGATGGCGACCACACAACGCCACGCGTGTTACCCACGTGGGTTCTGTCTCTCAAATAGATTCAACATATTCCTACGCACATAGTTTTGACCAGAGACTATAGCATCTCGTTTATGATAGACATATGAAAGAAAAATATATCTTATATACTTCTTTGGAAGAAGATTTTGTATTTCAGTCAAACGTCTACATATCAAGGACTTATTTTTTTCCGCGGACACCTATAACATGCGCTGCGGGCAAAGAAATAATATAACTTTTCCTCTTGCTCATCTCATTTGGATTTATCGTATTTGGATGCTAAAGATTTAAAACGAGGCCTTACTGCAAGCCTCTCAGTCATATCACATTACACGATCTCGCGTCATAAATTATCTCGCGTGAGCAGCAACTTGTTCCGGTTTGGGAACATACATGATCGCAAGGCGTTTATAGTTATACATTGAGACCACTGATCCTCGACGGAATACTAGAACCGTTGTAATTAAAGGTAGTGTATGTCTGATTAATTTAGAGTATTTCACTGTGTTATGTTGAATTGTAGCCCTCCTGTAAGTAAGTAAGTCCTCCGTTAAGGCAACATAGCCTCAGCACAGTCGATTGACACTGTGGCTGTGACTGAGTGAGGTGTGACACTGCGGTAACTGACATTACACAACTGTCACTAGTAGTAGTAGTCGTAGTAGTGCACTGCCACTTCCCCGGCACTGACGACATCTAGTACTGCTGTTAGTATTACTACTAGTACTGTACATGTAGCCTAACTCTGCAACAGTCATTAATTAATTGGTAAACACTACTTTATATTAACACTGTAATCTACTTGCGGCCACAGGAGAACAGGATTCCCCCTTCGACTTTGACTTTTAAGTTAGATGCTTCTCCCTTTAAAATTTTGGAAAATGGGATACAGCTCATTTAAGTAGCACAAAGTTCCATGCGTTAGCGCTCAGGGCTGTCTGTGTGGTATGTGTTAATTAAGCAGAAGTTAGGAGAAGTCATAATTGGTTGCTAGATTAAACTAGTAGACATATAAAACTTATGCAGTCTGTCGCTTGGTAACTTAGACTGGGTTCCCATGCCTAGATCGATCTAACAGGATCTATCCATCTCTAAGGGGTTTTCACTGAATTGCTTTCTGCTTAAGCAGCTTAGATGTCTGGCACATCTACTGAAGCTGCTAAACAATAATTAATTACCCCCTAGCAGGTTCAGTAGGCGTAACAGACATCTCAGCAGCTTAAGTTGATAGCAATTTAGGGAGAGTCCCCTTGGAGATAGTTCGATCCAAAGTTAGTACTATAGAGTCTGGGAATGATCCCTTACATATTTTTACTAGTAACAATATGTATAGGGACCATTTTTTTCAAGAAAAAAGTGTCCTCAAAAAACATGTAGGAAATGACACCTGTATAAGGTCGTCAGAATTAAATAGTGCTGATTGGCTTGATGTTAGATAGCAAAGCTGGAAGAGAATTTAATGACTGTGAGCTTTTACGATTGCAATAAAAAATAAGAAAAGAAATAAGACCAAGCAATAACAGAGTTGACGACTTCCTGTCTGCCAGTCACAGGTAATACTAAATATTGATAATATCTTAAATTGACATTCAACTTCCATAATAACTAGCTGGGTTCAAGGCAATATAGTGATAGTAACTTAGACCAGGATTAGTAGCCTGCTAATAGACTGTTTCAAGGTACAAGATAAGTCTGCTAATTATCAGTTAGACTATTTCAATGTATAAGAGAAATCTCGGTGGGAAGACAACCTCACATCATCTTTATGCATGCAGAGAGCAGTCATAAGCCATATATGTATTGTCCTAGACTCCTACTGCTGCTGTGCACTCTGCTGGATTGATTAATGGCCAGGGAAATAGAGGGGTTTGCTTTAGGGGGTTAATTGGAGCCCTGACTATGTTCTTAAGGCATGGAGACTGTTGATTAGAAAATATGAATCCATTTTGCATTCATTTATTTTGGTTATTATGTTATACATTACTTATTATAGGATAAGGCATTTATCAAAAAAATATCTTCCAACTCAGAAATCAGTATTTTAATTCTTTTTATAAATGTCACCAACATGAAGTAATTGATGCTGTGGGTGAATTGACATTTTTGTGGCTGCAGTAAGTCTCTTAGCAGAGAGTCAGCACAACTCTCAAGACAAATGGCTTCTTGCTGATGTCACCACTTAAAATAGTACTTTTCTGTTTGTAAAGCTGTTTTAAGATAAAAAGAATTGCATCTTTTTAAATAGATATAACTAAGATATGGTGAAACTGAAAGGGAATAGGTAAGATTAGTCTACATATTAGTAATCATGATATGTAAAGGATTGGTCGTAAGAGCTACAGCAAAGTGAGGCAGCATAGACACTTAGGTTAACTATCTGCAATTTCATCAAATTGCTTTAATTTATAATCATCCAGTTTTTCATTATGCAGTTCTACACATTAGCATCCTGGTCCTAATGGGTCATCTGGGATTTGGTCTTAGTTTTCATATATCACATTAGCATAGTACTTGTATAACATAATTTAATTTTCATGAATTCTACTGACAGGTGTTTTTGTATTTTGTATATATAACTATAGCCTTGACATAAGAATACTTTTAGGGACCATTCCCAGACCCTTTCATGCTAACTGTGGATCGATCTATCTCCAAGGGGATACTCGCTAAATTGCAATCAACTTCAGTGGCTGAGATGTCTGTCTCATGTATTCAAGCTGCTAGGGGATAATTGATTATCGTTTAGAAGCTTCAGTTGGCGTGTCAAACATCTAAGCCGCTTAATAAGCTGAAAGCAATTTAGGGAGAAATCCCTTGGAGATGGATAGATCCTGTTAGATCAATCCAGGTATGGGAACCCAGTCTAAGGGTGCATTCCCAGAGATTTAGATCGATCCAGGGATTAAGATTTAGATCGACCTTACTCCCTGGGGGTTCACGCTAAATTGCAGTCAGCAAAGCGCGCACCATAGTTAATTACCGCTTTACAGCTTTTAGTAGGCGGGACAGACGCTTAAGCTGGCTAAGCTGACAGTAATCTAGTGAGACTCCCCGCAGGGATAGATCGATCTAAAATCAATGGAAATGGGGTCTAAGTCAGTCAAAATGTTGTGAAAAGAATGTTTCGCTGCTGTCACTTATATTTGTTGATTAAGTAGGAATTGTCTTCTAACAACAGTTATGTTCAGCTTGGCAAAGGTTTCTATATGGACACAGATAGATTGCTGGAGGGTAATAGGAAACTTGTGTGAAAACATGTCGAGTCATGCAGAGTCATGTAGTGAGCATAACACTGAATCTAGTGGCAGCTGTAGCAGCATGAAGGACTGTGCCCTGGCAATTGTTTCTAATAAAGAAAACATCCAGTTTGTGTACTTTTCAGCAGGGAAGCAACTTGATTTAATATTTTAACCCAAAAATAAAGCTTGTCTTTAACTAGACTTAAAGGTAAACTTTAAAGCCTAAAGCTTGGCAGTGAAATAACCCATTGGATCATAGTATTTATCCAGGATTGAGATAGTCCTTGGGCGGGATGTCCACACCTGGTATCTTCTCTGTCCAGGTTGGCAGCTGATTTATCTCTGAAAATGACGGCCATCATTGCTTCATAATGTGTTCACAGTGATACCGCAAACATGCCCAAGACCAAAATACCTTCTATGCTAAGTATATATGAAGATCACACCTTTTGATTGAAATTAGGCCTATTTAAGAGATAAATGTCTTTTCAGAGGTTTCAGTTTAAATGCAAAATATAAGAATTGTTTTATGTTTCTAAATTCACTTTACCAAAAAGCCACTATTCTTCATAAAAAAGTAATGAGTTGACAGTTGAAGAGGACAGTTGACAGTTGATATATATATATGTAACATAGTTATGCAAAAGAATTAATTATATAGTGAGTGAAGTCTAGAACACTTAATAGCAGCATGCCTGTGGATTTTAAAGGTTTGGTTTACAAGAAGAAACCCATTATGGACTTCTTCACTTGTAGGTATTTTATCTTAAATAAATTTTATCAATAGAGCTTTGCATTGAAGTGTATTGATAAGGACCAAGTAAAACATACATGAACATTTCAGATGTTTGTCTGCATGTTTGAAATGTTGTTAACCACTGCAATAATTTTTCAAAACCGCAACTTCTAGACTACTAGTAGTTAATTAGTTAAAACCATGGGGACTAGGTTTATCAAATGAAAGTTTTTGGTGCAAAAATTCTCTGATTAGAATCTTGCCTGCAAAGTGAGCAGTTGAGCTGTTTATTTCAGTGTTACTGATGACAATTTATTGACATTTTGCAGTGGGGGAAATTAGGATAATGATTGCTTCATTATGCCTTCATCAATAATTCACAATTGGCTTCATCATCCAGAAACTAGTATATGAACATTTGCCAGTATTTTAAAGTGGCGCATGTGTGAGTTTTTGTCTGTAGACTCTGTACGCATGTTTTGTGTGTGTGTGTGTGTGTGTGTGTGTGTGTGTGTGTGTGTGTGATAATATAAAAATTAAAAGATATATATATGCATTTCACTTCATTGAAATATTATGTATACTGCAATAATTGTATCCAAATAATTAGGATTATTTTTGTTGTCATTATTTATATTACTATAGTTATAATTGTAATTATTATTATTGTTATTGGTATCCAGATAAATTCTTAAATTCAATATGTATTTGTTGATATCTAGCTCTAGTTCCTCCTTTTATATTTCTTGAAGTATTGTAGTCTAGTCAGTCATGTGTATGTCCACTGGTCTGTATTTTATTTGATATTCTGTGTTTTCAGATTTATTGCCTATATCTGTACATGTATGTAGTATTCGTCTTTGATAGTTTGATTTATGTACTCCAGAGCCCCTTGAGACGCGGTGTGACCTCTGACCCCCCTCCAGGCTAGATGAAGGCACTAGGGTTATAGTAGGGTTGATGACAAGGTGAAGATAGTCACAGCTGTAAGGTAATGGTCTACCCCATCAAACTACCACCTATCTCACTTCACACTTATTATATATATATATAACTGTGTATACTGCATACTTCAGATCTGATTATCAAGTATAGACATCTGGAGTATTCAGTGCTTTGCATTTGACCATTGTGTTCTTGGTGACTGCTTAGATACCTGTAATCATCAGTGCAATGTACTGAGCATACTAGTACTTGTCTGATATATGTGTTATTATTTGACAACTGTGACTGATCTCTAAGGAAATATGTTACTTAGTAAGTAGAGGTCACTGTGGCTACTGGCTGTAGTTCAGTACCAATAAGCAATGTTTTTGATGTCGGCTGACAAAGATGACTGTTTTAATGACTGTTTCAGGTATAAATGTGCAAAAAACATGCTGGCACTCAATTTTGGTAATGACAGCATTTTCAGCACCCTAGGTTCATTTCACAGTTGTGGCTCTTTACTGGCTCCAACATTGTATTTGGATGAATAATGAATAAGGAAGTTCATTTACCATTTCCTATGAAAGTAAAGTGAGTCTTATTTTCCCATCAGGTCATCTGGCAGGCAGGGAGAGCATGAACCTGTGGCGTGTGGTGGTATGTTTGGTGGCGGCCTGGGTGCTGATCCTAGTCTACCTCAGCACTATGGTGATGCAGCCCAGTGACACAGGGGACAAGATGGAGAGACAGCTGACTAAGGCAATGGAAGAAATTCTACTGCTTAAAAAACAGAACTTAGAACTACAGAGGTTGACCAATGAACTCAGGTACTGCTTTCTCTGGTTTGAGATTCTGTTTTGACAATGTTTTTTTATTCTATTGAATTTCAATTTTTCATATTAAATTTACTATTTTCATATGATATTTTAATATGATGAAAATATCAAGGTGGTGTTGTACCAGGGTAGATTAATTGGAAGACAACCAATTTTTTCATGCACTCAGGGATGTATGATATGCTGCAAATTTGATTGAGCTTTCAAACCCATCATTAGTCATATAACAGATATGACCCAGGACATAACATGTTTTCAGGGATGTAAGGCTGGTGGTTGGAGTAGGTGGTGAGAATAGTGCTGCAGTCAAATTACTACAGAATAAATTAAATGAAGCCAATAGAGAAATAAGACAGCTAAATCTTCAGATGGGAGACAAAGCACCTCTAAATCAAGGTATTAGCAAGCAGATGCATATTTCATTTAGAATTTTTCTTAAGCTGAAATATTAACTTTACTAGGTGTTTAAACACTGACTTAGTAAAAGTTTAGTTCAGTTGTACTGTCGTTAAGTAAAGATGATTTTAAGATAGATCGAGAAGACATGTCCATGTAGTTCTAACTGCTACCTTGATTTTATCTTGATATCTCTTGTGGATCACTTCCTGAGGGGGATTAAGACTAAGCATTTGGTATCTTTTTAATATTTTTTGTAGCTGAGGGTGATGCTGTTGCTGGCAGTAAAATTCTGTCAGACGGTCCTAGTGCCGAACACGAAAAACTGCGAAGAAAACTTTACAACGGTGTGACAGAGTTGTGGTACTTCATACGCTCCGAGTTAAAGAAAATAAAAAATGTTGCTAAGGATAATAGACAGTTAAACACAAAAGTGAATGACTTATTAGATGATGCAGGGCATCAAGAAAGGTATGTAAATCATGGTTTTATTACTTTATACTTTTTACTAATAAACAGTATATGAATCATGTTTTTATGACTTTATATTTTTTGATAATAAATATGTTGAAGGGTTACATAACTGGTAATGCTTGGTCATCTAAAGCGTTGAGTTAGAAGATTGGCTTTCAAAAAGGTCATTAATTGCCTACATATTAGAATTTAATCAGATGTAGAAGGCTTAATAAGAACAGTTATTTGACATTTTGAGAATGTTAATTGCTCCAAATTATTGTTTTCCAACAGGTCCATACTAACAGATTTGCATAGTTTAAGCCAAATTGATGGAGCAGAAGATTGGAGGAAAAAGGAAGCCAAAGATTTAGAAGCACTTGTACAACGACGATTTCATTATTTGCAGGTAGATATTTTGAATATTCAAGAATTGATCATATTACAGTGAGATACAGATTCAGCCAGTACCATAGAATATGATATCTAATACATTGATTGTTTTTACACGGTTAAAATTCATCATACGTCTAGGAATTGTTAGAATATATAAAATTTGTTTTTAAGCGGGTAAAATTCATCATACATCTAGGATTGTGTGATCATTGAAGCAAATTTTTACTTCAGAATCCCAAAGACTGCCAAAATGCCAAGAAGCTGATCTGTAATGTCAATAAAGGCTGTGGCTTTGGCTGCCAGATCCACCATGTCGCATACTGTTTTATTCTTGCGTATGCCACTGAACGTACCATGATCCTCCAGTCCAGTGGCTGGCGGTATTCTAGCGGGGGATGGGAGAAAGTGTTCATGCCTGTGAGTGACAGCTGTCGGAACGCGGCTGCAAAATCCTCCAGAGGCTGGGGACGTAAGTACACTGGAAATAAATAGGTTGCATGTGTTTGTACATAAAGCCATCACCTGCATCTGTCATCATCAGTACCATTGCCACGGTGTTATACTATTATTGCAATAAATGGGAAACGAGTAACTTATCCTCCTCAAATCTAGTGGAGAGATTTTTGGCATGAAAAAACAGGTTATTATGTGATTTTTCACACATTGACATTTTTATGGTGTGACTTTGGAATCTTGTAATTGTTACCCTTGATTAATTAGTACCGCCAGCGTGTACGCTGGCGGTACTCATGGTTTTAGTCCCGACCCGTCTCGTACGGCTCCGCTGGCTCCTGCGGCTCCACCGGCTCCACGTACTGGCGCCGGATACAAGTCACCGTTACCGCTTCTCCTCCTAGACTGCAAGGACTCATGTCCCCATCTCTTGGATTTAGGTCACATATAATCTCAACTTGAACCCCCTGTTCTTTTTGTCTCAGTCAGTGCATTGGCCTGGGCATGATGCTCGTTGAAACGCACCCTTGTCAAAATTTTTGAAAATTCAATGCCAAATATCTCCCAAATCAAAGGAATTATGGGAAAAATTACTACAGAAGCCTGACCAAAAGTCATATGTGAAGATTCCAAATATGCCCTTGGATTTGACTTTTGACCTTTATTTCAAGGTCAAACGGGCCAAAATTTTCTAAAAATCTTAATTTTTTGCAGAAAAAGTTTTTATTTCTGCTGATTTTCAGAAACTACACAGATCTTACCTATAATATTATGGGTAGTTGTTACCCTTTGGGTCATCTTTCATCTTTTTGATTTTGGGGTCAATCGGTGCATTTTTATGGGAGTAGCGGCCATTAGATGCCGAAACTGAAAACTTTCTCTCTAATTCTGGAACCGTTAATGCTAGAGACCTCTTGTTTTTTGCATTTTGTAGAGCTTATCAAGTGCAACACAGAAGGTGGTATCCATTTTTCCTTTTTCGATTCAGCTTAGGCATTGCATTATGTCAAAAAGTTCAATATCCGATATTCAGTGGTGAAAATAAAATGTGAAATACTCCAAAATTAGCTGAGATACACCCATAGTTACTATTGAACTTAAATAGGAAAGCATATACTGGCAATCTAACTGAGGCCTTGAAATTGACCTTTGACTTACTTTTTATGATGAACTATACTTTGCATGTTTTCTGGCATTTATATCTCCAAAATTGGCAAAGAAATGCCCATAGTTACTACTGAACTTGAATAGGAAGTCTTATACTGTGACCTTGAAATTGACCTTTGATCTTCTTTTTCACCATGAACTAAACTTTGCATATTTTCTTGCCCCTCATATCTTCAAAACTAGCAGAGATATGCCCAGTGTTGCCCCTTGGTTTTCTTTTTCATCAGCAAATATGCAACACTGATAATACATTTCGAGGAAAACCAATAGGCCTTTTGTCTAGAAAATCACAGGAGTGATCAATGTGAGGAAAACACAAGTCAATTCAAAAATTGATAGGACCATTTTTACAGTTATTTTTTATTTATTTATTATTATTATTNCACATAAGAGAATCACCTAAACAGAGCTCCAGCTACAGATTGCATGCTCAGTTACACTTCTAGCCATGCAGTTGGAAGCAAACTTGTAAAGGAGAGTTAGGCCACATTTACAACCAAAAGCACTATGGATGGAATGCCAAAGATAGAAAGTTGGAACTTATGTGAAAAGGCCCAAGTGGTTACTTACATAACTAACGTTTCCAAAACATCCCATGGTCTTTGATTAAGTTATACCCCAGCATAATTGTGCTACCAAGCATGACCATCTCTGCAATGTGGAGGAATCCACCACGTTTGCGCTTGTCGGGATCTACAGGATAAAGTCACCATGAGAATGTCAAAAGCAAAACTAAATCCTCCGTGCAAGCAAAAACAACAACAGAAGAAATTAAACTTGTAGCTTACATGTGCATATTAGTGCTCACTTAAATGAAGAATTTGTGGGATTAAAAAATTTTGATCAACAGGGCTATAGTTGATAAGTAATTAAATACTGGTGAAGATTCACAAAAATGTTAGTCCCCCTTTAAGCTACAATAGACTATATCATACAGTCAGATGGCAACCGGCTGAAAAACGTAACGTCATGGCGGTTATTTGAAACTTTTCAGTGAGTGCGCGTCACGAAGTAGCGCCGTTTCTGGACAAATGCGATGGCTGACGTGAAAAACTGAACCTTGCAAATAAAACCAGTTTAAAAACAAACCAGGTCGTTTTGAGTTGTGATTTTGTAAAGATAATAAGAAAAGTCCATGCTCTTACCCTCGATTTAAAAGGATTACTGGAATATGCAAAAATTTAAATGAAATATGTTCACGTTTTTGAATTTTGAAAATAAAAGTTCTCAAAATGAGTATCGTAGGGGGTGGGACTATGTTGCGAGAAAAAAGTTGCCGGCCCTGGATTTATCTCATTTTTAGATAGAAGTTAAAACACCACCTAATGTTTAAAATTTCAAAGTTTCAAGAACGTGTTATTTCTTGTTTTGTCACCAGAAGAAAAAATCCAAGATGCAGCTCAAATAATGACGAAAAAATGCGGTCTCAGACCGTCGCAAAAAGTACATTTATTTGAAGGTTACATCTTTATTAAAAATATCACCACATGCATCATTTCAAAGAAAAACGATCAAATAATATCTCTGTCACTGTAACTTTCGTGTATGCATTCCTGGAAAGTTTTACGATGACCTTGAACTACTAAAGCATTGTGGGATTTCCTATTGAACGGTCAAGGCTAGATAATCCCGCCGATAACAAAATTTTCTATCATTATTTAGTGTTTTGTATGGTATTTTATCGTTTATATAAAAAAAATTATCATAAGAAAATGATCCGATTTTATTTATGTATTCTGATATCATTTATGCAGGCGATTATATGTTGACCTATTTATAAAACAACGCGCATATTTGTAAAAAAAAAGTATCCAAAAAGTATCAAAGATTCAAATGCCACATTCCAAATAGCAGGGTAGCTAAGTCCATTATTGCAAAATAAAAGGGAGTGTGGGAGTTATAGAAGAACCAAGATTTTAGAATAAATCGCTTAAGATTTGATTTGCCACGTACGTACTTCGTACATATAGCCTATACATGTATGTATATATGCATTTTGAATAATATCTTAAGTTGAAAATTTAGGATTTCTATGGCAAGTTTAGTGCTTCTTTTCCATTCCATTTTCTTGTTCTTGTGTACTATAGTATACTTATTAAACTCGTCCACACCACATGAAAAAACATGTTTTAAAGCAGTTCTCATTATGAAGTAAGGTTCATTATTTTACCATGAATAAACAACAAATTATATTAGCAGAGCCGCAGTCCGTAATGGTAAACAGAATTTAAAAGATATGTTAAGTCTGCTCGTAACTCAGGATTGTGCAGATAAGCCTTATGGCAGCAAATTTTGTGGAGGATTCGCAACCGGCTTGACTTGTGCAGGTGCGATAGAAGGATAAAATATCTTCTTTCGAAATAAGGCATCTAGAAAGGTAAAATGATTTTTACGCCTAGGATATTGTTTATTTTACTTAAAGGGACAATTTATTGTGCAAATAAGTTATAACTTTATTGATTCTCGAAATTTAGTGAAATCTCCAGACCTTCACTTGCTTCTGTATTGGAGAATATGACGTCAGAATATGACTGACATCTAGCGGAATAGAGTCAAAAATGCACTTCAACAGCTCGCATAAAAAGTTGCCACGAAAAAATTTTGATGAAAATTGGCACGTATTTTTCTTATTGAAAAAGCCTCATTTTACGGACTTTTCTAAGACGTGTTATTTCTAATAAAGGAGATATCTTAATTTGTTACAGTGTTGCTACGGCCAAAAATTTACCTGTTGGCCGATTTCCTCGAGTTCTAGCTCATTCATTTCTGCTTACTTATAGGTAAATCGCAGACGTTGAGACTCGCAGTGAACTCTGCTATCACGTCTTAATTCTTCACAAGCAAGTATAACGGCAATTAAGGATAATTCATGAATTCCCACGAAGGTTACGCAATTTACAAAAATTCAATGACGACGTCATCTCAGCGCATGCGCTCCGTTCTGAATATTTTACTACGCGCGGCCAGTTGCCATCTGACTGCATATGATGTCCTCAACTAAAATAAGTCGAATGCTGTGGTTTGTTAAGATTGAGATAGCGAAAAAATAAAAATAAATAAATAAATAAATAAATATTAATACCAAATAATTTAACAGCTGATAATGTCATGCTTTCAAATACTTGAATTACCATAAGAAACAAATAACAGTTAATAGTGGGAAAATTTACTGGTGATAACAATATTTTCAAAAAAAAAAATTTTTTTTTAATTAAAAAAAAAACAATCTAGGAATAAACAGTAAAGCACATTGTACGACAGATTAAAATATAAATCTATCTTTTAACTATCCAAATAACACAAACATGCTATCAGGTTGTCACATATTCCATTTTTTTCTTTTTCTAAGGAAGAAAATAATATTTATCTCTTGTACAAAAGAAATTCATGTTATACCCATCATGGAATTTTTTGAAATTCAATTATTGTTCATATTGTTCATTGGATATAACATTCCAATTCTGAAAGATTATTAATGAAGTTCTCTGTCTTATTTAAAATGATAAAAAACTACAGTAATTTTATATCAAATTTTATCCATGTGTTATATCTTTACCTTTAATTATGCACAATACCCTTACCTCCAGTATTATAACCAAGTGCATACACTATACGACCCACCAAGTACACGGTACCCATGCCAGCACTGATTTTCTGTAAATTGATATATAAACCATAGAATTACATATGTCAAGAGATGACATTAATTATGTCATTACTTCTATATTATTTTTTATTGATTTTGCACAGCCACCTTCATATATATATATATATATTAAACTCAAGTACATTGTACTGCGATGGATTGAGAATTTTGGAAAGGGGTAAAATGTCAATATATAGATTTGTTGGCTGTCATCATTTTTATAATTGTGATTGGTAATCTAGAAACCCTATTTCTTATTCCCATACTTCCAAGACTGTAGTTTTACCACCTGACATGTGTCTAGCCGGCTATCACAAAACTTACTGGATACTGCAGTCCACCAAGGAAAAGGAGCATTAAAAATGGAGGATAATTTTCAAGACTGAAATTAAAAGAAGACAAAAACACCTATACTTACATCGACATTTCTTTGGTATCACAGGATATGGGTGGCTTAAAGTAGACTATCACATAAATGAACGTGGCACAATTAATGGTATTATCTCAGGGACCATAACCCTATTGTGCTAGCAGGATCAATCCATCTTTGAGGGATTCTCGCTAAATTGTATTCAGTTTAAGCGTGCACAAAAAGTTAATTACCCCCCTAGCAGCTTCAGTGGGCTCGAGTCTTGACAGACATTTTAACTGCTTTACTGAATGCAATTTAGCAAGAATCCCCTTGGGGTTAGATCGATCATGCTAGCAAGATAGGACTATGGGAACCAAGTGTTAGTATACATACACTGTAACTTAATCACAAAGACCGTACATTGTATTTTAAAGATAAAGTTTCAACTGGTGCATGGGCAGTCAAGTCATGGGACTTACAAGTTTTGGTGAGACCTTTGGATGCAGTTGAACTGGTTCTCTCCATTGTTGACAGAACTGTATGTTAGAGGATACTGGAAATGAAAGTTTAACAATGTGCAAATGTACGTTAGTTATAATGAACCAAAATGTGTTTGCTTGCATAAGGGGTAGAGAAATAATACAGAAACATTGTATGCAGAAAAAAATTTAAAAAACAGTACAAAACTAAAGCAGGCAGATTTAAGACATGTTTAGGAGACACAAAGTTTTCGCATATGCAAACACGTATTGTACAGTAAATACTAAGGAAAAATGTTGCTTCTTAGTTTTTGTAACCAGCGAAACATTAAATCGGAATTCAAAATGTACACCACTTACGGGAACCTCAAACTTCTTACGGGCATTTGCCACATTCATAGCGTGCCACATATTAACAAAGATGCTTCCTGCCCCTGTCATGACCACCAGACCATAGTCTTCAGGGAGAACTTTGGACAGACTCATGATGCTTTACAATAAGTAGCCTTAAATAAAGACATTTAGTTAGAATTCAACCGTGTTTCAATGCACTAAGGCAGCTGATACTTATATATATATATATATATATATATATATATATATATATATATATATATATATATATATATATACCACTGTGATGCAATATAATCAGCAAATTGAGTCATGTACTGTAGAATTTCTTCTGGAAATTATACAGTACATGTACTTCTACATGTACATTACGACACACACTTTCATTTGAGTTCCCCTTATGACTCTTGTTTACTTGTTTATCCTGGCCTTGGTAATTTTATAAAAGTTTGAAATTATTTAAGATTAAGGTTAACTTTCCTGTTGAAATGTTTTTGAGCACCCATGCACAATGCACTTTCACTTTAAGAGAACCTAAGTGACACTCCACAAAATTCGATCCCGAAGTGCTCCTTGTTGCAATAAATATTACATGAGTGTAACCACTGTCATACAAGACTAAATATTTGTGAAATTGTGAAATTTGCTTTTGATAATCCCTTACCTAGCAAGTTGTAAGATGGCGAGCTTGAAGTGCAATCCCAGTAACCTTGACCTAAAAAGACACACGTGTGTGGAGGACGGGTTAGTAGGTCACACGATCTCACCCTGAGCTTCAGAGCTGACTTGACACT